GGGGGGGGGGGGAGTATGCATGTGGTGTTTGCAGATTGTTATCTTTTTCCATTGGTTATATACTACTTGACTGCATGTGGGCGGTTCTTTTTAGTTGTTTTTCCTTTGTTATTTTATTTGCTTCATATATAAGATTACAGAATGTGTGAAGTGTGCATTGAGAGTGATACACACTACAAAAGAGAGGAGGGGAGGGTTTCTACACAAGATATCACTGGGTTGTGTGAGTGAGTGTAGGGAGTACCTGGTACATTTAGATTTGGGGGTGTGGATAGGATTGCTTTTGAGTGTCTGATATTTATCTCTTATAAATTGGAGAGAGGCAGCAGCCACGGCGGAACAATTTTTTATGATATAAACCTGATTGAGATAGTTCTTGGTGATCCCCAGAGATTGTTTTAGTATGGGATACTGCTGATTTCATAAACTGCCCAGTACGTGACTAGGTATTGATCCTGTTTTGCTCTTTCCTTGATGTATCGTTTGATTGGCTTTGCAGGTCAGTGTGGAAATAGGTTCCCGAACGCCAAATGTGCTTCGTCTGGATGGGTTCAAATCTTCCGATACCATTAGCGACGTCAAGGTGCGGGCCTGCCAGACAGCAAAGGACCTTGGTTTGGGTCCACTTAAGTGTTGCATTAGATCAATGATGTCTCTAGAAGGACGGCATTTGGAGGACAACCAGACTCTAGCATCTTTATTCCGCCGTGGCTGCTCAGACTCGTCTCTCTTCTTGTTTTACTTCCCAGGCGTGGCTAAAGATATCATAGAAGAGCCCATGGAGGAGATGCGCTGGTTGCGGATCTGTAAGCTTGTGCGGTTTAGTGAGGAGGCACACGAGAACAACTGGGTTGATGAAGAGGAGTACTACAAGGGCAGCTACGACGAGGACGATCCAGTCTCGATTGAAAAGAGGCCAAAATTCATTCATGCGCCGCTCCCATTTGCTCAGGTTCCAAACCTATGCACTCATGGAAGATATGAGTTGCTGGACATCTTGCGGAGACCCATTTCATTTTCTAAGATCAGGCACACCCACTGTGTCGCTACCGCTGCATCTGTTGTCCTTTTGGCGCTGAATGATCGGATTCTGAAGGACCTGGTGTCCTTAAATACGAAGCCTGAATACCTTGTGATTCGTGTGAGTTGGGACAAATTGTCTTACGTATTTGTCAGGGTATTGAGGGAATCAAACGCTGACATTCCCATTGTTGCTGTCACTGACCTTGACCCCCACCACCTGGACCTCCTGACCTTCCTTGACACACCTCCCGACTTCTTGCCTAGCTGCTATGGGTGGGATCTCACCAGAGACTTTGGACAAGACGTGTGTGCTAGTAGCATTGATTTTGTGGACATCAAGTGGCTTGGGCTGAGGCCTTTTGACTATCGGCCACACCACACTTCTTCTGATGGCGCTTCCCGTTGTCCTGGCTTTGACAAGGTCATTCGCATGCTCAGGGCCAATCCTTTTCTCCGTAGGAAGAAAGAGTGGTTAGAAGCATTGGATTGGCTTGACTTGTTTGGTAAGTGTGTGTCATTACATCTTCTGGCTCCTCCATTAGATCCTAATGATAGTTCCATCTTTTTGGGGGATGATTACCTCTCTAAGAAAGTATCCGAAAAAGATTGGGCTTAAGTATAACTGCCGTGGCACTAAATGCTTCTGTGTATCAGACTCCTAGTACTATTTATCTTAGTGGTATTAATTGCTTTAGTATTCAAGATTGATTACAAACACTCTTCTCTGTTACGGTTCAAATTTCTTTGGGCTCCAGGTGTAGTTAGATTCCTCTGTATACTTAGCATCCAGTCAATTTCATCTTCTTGCTCTTTCGTCACTAGAGCACCTAAATAGTGGGAGATTACAAATTGACTTTGGGGGAGATTGGGTATTGAGGTGGATGACCATTCAGTGCTCGGTCCAGCTACGAGCAGGTTCTATTATTTCGAACTTCACAACGAACATGGTGAAAGACAAGAATTGGACAATGAAGATATTGATAAATACTAAAGGAGAAAATGATGAATAGTTTAGAAGTCCATAATTTTTTTTTGAAATATCAATAATGTTTATAAAGTATTATTTAGATAAAAAAACTAATTATGCAAATTAGAAATGTACAAAATATATTAAAATGCTCAAATGCATTTGGATATAATACTTGAGAAATGAATTTCCTTTACAAAATTAGTACTAATTGAATAGAACAATTATACTAAAAGGTTTTTTGATTAATCAAAAGTTAAAATAATAGTTTTAAAATGAAAAATCTAAAATAGACCATTTAAATAATGACACAAAATTAGAGAATGCATATATGGCATATGCCATGTGTGATGTGTCATCCTTCAACTAAAAAAAGCGTATTCTCTCTGTCCGAATTTAAATTGTCTATTTTTGTTTACGATATTTGATTAAAGTTATTTTTAAATTATTTTATATAAAAAATAGTGTAAATCAAACACTATTTTTTGAGGAAATCAAACGCTGACATTCCCATTGTTGCTGTCACTGACCTTGACCCCCACCACCTGGACCTCCTGACCTTCCTTGACACACCTCCCGATTTCTTGCCTAGCTGCTACGGGTGGGACAGAGACTTTGGACAAGACGTGTGTGCTAGTGGCATCGATTTTGTGGACATCAAGTGGCTTGGGCTGAGGCCTTTTAACTATCGGCCACGCCATACTTCTTCTGATGGCGCTTCCCGTCGTCCTGGCTTTGACAAGGTCATTGGCATGCTTAGGGCCAATCCTTTTCTCCGTAGGAAGAAAGAGTGGTTAGAAGCATTGGATTGGCTTGACTTGTTAGGTGAGTGCGTGTCATTACATCTTCTGGCTCCTCCGCTAGATATTCCTAAGAAAGTATGCGAAAAAGACTGGGTTTGAATATACCTAGAGCTTGCAACTCGGTGTGTCAGTCGGTCTGGGCTTGGTCACTCTGGCCTCGTCTTATTTTAGTCTTCTATCTATATGTAAATTGTAATTTGCTTTTGAAATACTCATAAAACTCTTTCTATTCGTATGCCTAGTTTTTTGTGTAATAATTTCGAATATTTATTCATGAAAAATCAAATATGTCATTTAAAGACTTGTCTTAAAATATAAGTTCATACACAAAAAATGAGTAATAACAAAAAATTAAAAAACATAATTTTTTCATACATTATTTTTCATATTAAAATACATGATTTAGAAAAACCTCTGTTAGCGGGTATGTTTGGCCGGGTTCGGAATTGTTCGAGTTTGACCCATTTTTAGCGGGTCATTTCGAGTTTGGTTATCTTCGAGTTTGGTCTGTTAGAATATATGCCCAAGGCTAGAGTGGGTGAATAGCATTTATGGACGGTTAAAAAATTTATCGCATGAATAAGTAAAAATAAAAGCATACGAGCGAAAGTGAAAGGAAAAAAGAAAGGACATAATGATGTATACTGGTTCACCACTTTAAGACCAGACTCCCGAGAAAAGTGCTCTCGAGTTACAGTAACTCCGTTAAGCGTAAGGGTACTTAACAAACCGTTTACAACTTGAGAACTCGAGTCACACGAGCCTCAACAATGCAACGAAGGAATGTAACCTTTCTTCGATCGAACCAAGGTAACAAACTTTCCTCAAAGTGTTTACAACACTCAAACACTCAAGAATAAAGCTCTCTCAAAGAATGGTATATGAGTAAAAAAGTTTGAGTACAAGAACACACTCAATTTTTCAAGAATTGGCTCTATAAAGCCATGGAAAATGTATGAAATGTAATGCAATATAAAGCAATGATTTAAATGAAGAATTGTGTAATGTCTCAAAATATACGTTGTAATTAATGATAAATTTCTAATAAGTTATAATTCTAACTTCGCCTAAATTAACTAGGAATTTAAAGAATGTAAATTTTTTTATCAAATTTATACTGGATTGTAGGTCTCGAAAAGATGAGTCCAACATTATATTTCGTGTGTAATTCAAGTTACAAAACTTAGTCACCTGAACACCCAAAAAAAAGAAAAGAAAGTAAAAGTGAAAGATTAAAATATAAGTTCATCATAACAATAAGTTGTATATCTAATATTGGTGTTGTTGGATAGATTTTGTGAAAACATGACCTATGACTTGTTGTTTGTCATGTTTGGAATTACTTAGAAAAAGTTGTGAATAAATTACACATTCCATTAGAATCTTTATATATAAAACTTGAGAACGAAAGTAAAAGGAAACAAGAAAGGATATATTGATTTACACTGATTTAAAAAATAATCATTATAAAGTTGCGTGATTTAAAATTTTCATAAATCGAGACAAAATTGTCTTGATTAAAAAAAATTTCAAATATTTATTTTAATAACGATTGATTGAGACAACAGCTAAGAAAAGAAGAAGTTACAAGTAGAACTATTTTATGCAATTCAATAGAAGGTGACACTCTGTATTATTTTATGCAACTCTACAAAAGGTGGAATTATTTAGCGTAATTAAAAAAAATCTAACTCATCATTCCGTTAACTCTTTTGTCATGAAAGTAGCGGTGACCCAAAATGCCTAAGTACTTAAAAAGTTAGAATTATTTAACACAAGATTTAAAGGAAGATCACAAAAATATATAACTATTTTAGATAGTTTTTTTCTTTTTCAAAATTTTTTATAAAGTGTCTTTGATATTAGTTCCCTAGGAAAATGCGAGGGGTACACCAAAAGTATACCGAAACATCCCCCACCCTCTCCATCACCACAAAAAAAAAACAAGAAAAATTTAAAAAAATAAAAATTAAAAACAAAATAAAAGGAATGGTAAAAAGAGGAGTGTTGTACATTTGGATTACACCTTTGGTGTACCCCTAGCATATCCCTAGTTCCCTATATTAGTTCTGATCTAATAATACACAGTAGGGATGTAAACAAATCAAATATTTTAAATTTGATTCGCGATTTGTATTCGAATAAGATGATTCGAATTCGCGTTATTCAAATACAAATTCAAATTCAAATATTATTTTTGATTCGAATATTAATCAAATACAAATACAAATAGAGATATATTCGATTCGGATGATATTCGAATATTTGAATATATGTATATATACACAGACCATATTTTCAACATCAAAAGTCAAGCAAAGTAATACGGAGTATAATATAAAGTGTATTTAAAATACTAAGAATTCAATAAATTAACGTAACACAAAAATCTAAAGCATATGATTTTTAATAGTTATATTTTATAAAATATAATTTGTGTAAGATGCAGATGTATTAATGTTTTTATATACGGAACATAGTATAGTATAAAGAGTATCGTAAGTTAAATTACAAATTGATGTTGGTTCATCATATAAATTACATAGTATGATTATTCAAATATTCGTTTATGATTCGATAACTATTCGAATATTAATCAAATACTTATTCAAATCTTATTTTAAATTCGTTTCATATTCGGATTCGGATTCGTATTTAAAAAAATTAAACAAATACAAATTCAAAAGAAACTACTCTCGCATAAGTCCACTGCCATTAAACCCTCCCCTTTTCTGCTAAACTCTCAAACCGATTAAAGCCTAAAACAACGGGATGGACATCGATCTGATCGAGAAGCTACCAGAACTCGATGCAGTAGATAAAATCAAACTTGATGGGGAAGATGATGAAAAACTACTTGAGGAAGCTGAGCAACTCTACGAACATGGCCAGGTAGTTAAGCTTAGTGATAAAGTTTGTTCGCTTAGTTGTCAGGATGTTATTCAAAAATTGGAATGCCTGCTTGAAAATTATTCCGAAACCAAAACAATACTGCTACCGAATTGTGGGATCAATTACTCTATGTTTTCTCGGTCTACCTCCAGATATGTACGGCGCGTTGCTGAATGGTGCGGTGTAGGTGGATTAGAGAAACTGAATGAGAATTCGATATTATTTGCTAAGTGTTTAATTCAACATCTCGTTTTGTCTCTGGCCCGATTACACGAGAGCAAATCCACTATGCCTTTGTTGATTAGGACGTTGTACTATATCATTCACCATGAATTTGCTCGTAATGATGATGTAGTTGTCACTATGGACAAGGTCACAGATTATATTGATAAGTTGTGTTGCTTGTTTGGTTGTACCCGAGAATCCTTAGGGGTGATGACTCGTGACACGAGTTCTGCATATGTGGGGATGATAATAGTTACTCGGGAAGATATCGACTCCAAGGGTCCTGTAGAAGAAAATGGTAGTAAGTTAAATCAAGCTTACCAAATCAATTTTTGCAACATCAAATCTGTTCGACCCATTAATGATGAGCCTCCTTTGTTTATTTTAATTGTGGAAAAGATGACGGTGTTTAATGAATTGTGCTCATCACGGTTTCACCGTCGAATCCCATGTGTAGTCATAACAAGTGGTGGTCAACCAAGTGTGGAATGCCAGCAATTTGTTAAAATGGTTCATGAATCACTCAAAGTGCCTATATTTGCATGCGTTGATTGCAATGCGTTTGGTATTGAGATATTCAAGTCATATAAGTATGGCTCTGGTAGCCTAGCGTTTATGAGTCGAAATTTAGTGGTTCCCTCTATCGAGCTCATAGGGTTGTTTTATTCTGATTTAGTTGAACGTGGCATGGGGGATGGTATGGCACCGCTCAAGAAAATAGATTATAACAAAACAATTTCTCTTTTAGAAGAACCTTGGATTCCACTTGAGCCTCACATCTCAAAGTCTTTAAAGTCTATCTTGGAGAACAAGAGGAAAGCTGATGTTGAACTATTATCACATAAGAGAGGATGTTCCCATTGGGTAAATGATTATTTACTTGAGAAGCTACGCTTTCATTTGAAAGAGATGAAGAACAAGAAGTGTGAAGTGCATACGAGAAAGAAGATATGTGGTGCAAAAAAACACAGGAAGAAGAAATTAAGTGGAAGAAAACGTGGGAGGTCGGGTTTTCTTTTTGTGATGAGAAAAATGTTCCGTTATGTTGGATAGTTACATCATTGTATAATGTTTAGATGAATCTTGTTAAGGTAGGCAGAAGGAAACTTTAACATACTTATTGAGCGTTCTGATCTTGTGGTTTATTGGCCTTTGTGATCCTTGCAAATGGCTACTGTAGTGATGTGGTAATGTATGGTTTTGATGGATGAATAGAAGTACTTGAGAGTCTATTGAAATAGAATGGTTTATTGATAGAAATGATTAGTTTATTTTAATGTAGTGAAATTGTTTGATCGATAAAACGTTTGGAGCTTTATATTTTGTGTGTGTTTAGGTTCATTTGTAAGCTGATGAAAAAGGAAGAGTCGACCGTTTCCCTCATGAATAACATGTTAGGTCTCAATGATTTAGAAGGTTTTGGAAATCATGTTATTACTTGATGGTAATTGCAATTTAGTATTGTGTTGAAACGAATTGATTTATGTTGATGCTATTACACCTCATTGCAAAGGTTTGTTGATTTTCGCAGGCTTCTGTTTCGGTTGGGATTAACAATAGGTATGGTTCCTTTGCTGCCCCTTTCATTCTCTCCCTTTTTCCTCTTCGTCAGTGAATGAACCAAGAATCTGATAATTTGGGAGTAGAGTAGATGAAAACAGAATATTTATCTCTCTTCCATGGTTGTTTTTTTCTCTCCAACTTTCATTAAGCTGATCTACAACTTTCCGTCTCTTTGTTGGAACTTGGAAGGGGCCATTCACTTGGTCAACTTCCTCACAGCTCAGATATGGCTCCACGAGGCCACAAGTTAGAACAATAAGTTATCTTGCAAATTAAACAATACCGACCCATCAATTTTTAGAATTGAAGAAACAGTTAAACGAAATAAGATGCAAAAATCACTTTGTAAATAAGTTTACACTAGAATTTCTATGTATTAGTTTTATTGTGTTTGAATGAAAAGGGTCTTCAGTTTCAAACTAAGCTCACCAACTCATGATAACTCGACCAATCACACTAAAATATACTCTCTCCGTCCCAAACAGAGTTGCATGTTGTTATTTACGTGGTTTGACTAAAGTTATTTTCAATTCAATTTATTTGAAAATTGATAAGTAATTAAGAAATAAAATTTATATATTTAAAAACCACATAAAAAGTTCTACAAAATAAGATGTCACATGACCATATTATTTTCTGAAACTTTCATCTAGTTTTTGTTTTGGTACTTAAATTTCATTTTCACGAATAGTACCCGGAGTAAGTTTTTGGGTAACCATCAGGTCATATTGACCAAATTATTATTTTTTGAAATTTAATAATCTTCAAATTGATCTCATTTCTTTTTTCAAAGTCTTCACATAATTACACCATTTTATTTATGGAGTACATTAGTTAGTTTACAATTAGTAAGATGTAATACTCCGTAAATGTTACGGTAGTAAGATAGACATTCAAACTCTCCAAGACTCGCCATACTTATGACATACTCTGTAATTATTAGATTGTAATTATTAGATTGTACTGAGTAATACTTTAATCCATTAATAATTTCATAAGTAAAAAAACCTGCCAATAGGAACTTAGGCCTTGTTCTGTTCAACTTATTTTTTCTTATTTTTTCTTATTCTTATTAAAATCAGATCAGATCAGATCGAATTAGATCAGATCCAATCAGATCAGATCAGATTTAATCAGATTAGATCATATTAGATCCAATCAGATCAGATCAGATCAGAACATATTAAGATCAGATCCCATCAAGAATTATTATTATTATTATTATTATTATTATTATTATTATTATTATTATTATTATTATTATTATTATTATTATTATTATTATATTGTTATTATTATTATTATCATTATTACCATTATTATTATTATTATTATTGTTGTTGTTGTTGTTGTTCTTTTATAAGGATGAGATATTTTAATAAAAATATTATCTCTTCTATATATTGATTATCTAAATTTAATTACTTTTTAATGTATATATAAATTAAATATTTATTCTAATTTATATATGAAGTAATTATTAAAATATTAAATTAATATTCTAATTTCACAAAAAAATAATTATAAAATAAAAAATATTATTACATTATAATATGAATGATTATTCTAATTTATGAATTAACTAATTTTATTTTATTAAAAAATAATCATTAAATAAAAATATTGATTATATTATAATATGAATTATCATTACAATTTTCAAACGTTATTATAAAGTCAAATCAAATTATTGATTTGAATTTTAAATCAAATCATAATTAATCAGATCAGACCAGATCAGATCAGATCCAATTAGATCAGATCCAATCAGATCAGATCAGATCCAATCAGATCAGATTAGATCAGATCCATTCAGATCAGATCAGATCAGATCAGAACTTATTAAAATCAGATCAGATCAAAAAAATAAGTTGAACGGAACGGAGCCTTAAATACTCCATTAATAGAAAGTTATTTTAAATAGTAGAAAATTTCTTTTAGACTTAACCACCGTACAAGATGGTAAAAAATTATTGTCCACTAGATAGAATATTTCATGCACATCATGCCAAACTGATCCATCCAAATGGGGTTTGGTACATCACCCTTTCAGTGCATTCTACAATTTTAACGCTAGGAAAATCGGTTTAATATAATTAAATAAATAATATAGTTAATTTTGAGCATGTCCCCCCCCCGTAGGCCTGAAAAATAAAAATATTAGGAATCCATTTATTTTTCTAAACTCGAAAACGCGATCAGTTTCAAAATCGAAATTCGTTTGTAAAACATTGAAAATTATATCAGACACGATAATTCTTTCCGAGAAACAGGAATTTCCTCCTAAAAGTCCTTTGTCTCTTATGGAGACATTTCTTTCCCTCTTTTGAAATCCCGACGAACAAATTGGCCAACCCATTATCACATAAAGCACACTAGCCTAGCATAGCCTCTTCTTGAAAGTACGTTGATGTGTTTAGATCATACATGTATCTCTTCAAAACCTAAGGTTTGTATCTCAGACTCGTGTCCAACGTTAGATTTCGTAAAATCAGTCGTAGTATTTAATCTCGTAGTTATCATCATATTAACGTAAAATCCGAAGAACACCCTACGGTTATTACTCGTATTAATCTTATGTCAAAACTATGATATATTGATGAATAATATGTTAATGGAAATAAGATTATGGATATGATTAAACAGATTAATTATGAGGTTATATGATATTTAATTTATAAGTAGCTTATAAATTTAAAAATACCTACGAGCAATAAGTCAATACAGAAATACACTCCCTTAATAATAGGACCGAAATTATAATGTTAATTTTATAAACTCAATACTTCATTCACCATAAGTTAGAATATTTATACATACATATGAAGAGGTAAAATCTAGATAAAGAAGGAAACAAGATCTTCTAATTTTAAATCAATAAAACCTATTGAGAAGCGATAAAATAAAATAAATGGTGCATACCTTAAAAATAATATACAATGTTGATTTTCAATCAATAAAATCTATTTTTAAAATAATAACAAAATCATACATTATATAAAAGGCATATTAAAATAATAATTCAGTGAAATAGATGTTCTAAAAATAGTTTTAAAGTGAAAGGTTTGATAAACATTTAATAAAAGTAATGGCTATTTAATGTTAGAAAATGAAGAATTTTATAATAAAAAAATTTAAACATTGTGAATAGTTTTGGAAAGTAATAAAATGAAAAATAGCAAACTTTAGACATTTATTATTAATCTTTTTAAAAGGACAATGTTTATACGAAGTAAAACATTTTAAGATAATAAAAGCTTTTTTTTTAAATTCAAAATTTGATCATTTAAGTTAGAAAATGAATAGGTTATAAAATTCAACAAAAGTAATGATGATTTAATACTCCGTATAATTTTAAGTAGAATAAAACACAAAACACAGATTGAATATAAGTACAAGTAAATTTTTAATAAATCAGCATAAAACATAGATAATCTCACTTATCTTCAAATCACCACCAAGATTGATTGTCCCAAATTGATTTCTAATAGAAGTGGAAAAAATAACTTCATTTATGTTTGTATAACGATCAACTTCTAAGTCCATTTCAACTTGTCCCACCTAACTATGCACAGATTTGTTGCATAGTCTTCTTATCAACACATTACCATAAAGTTCTAAATCGCACAGTAATATCGACCACCGAAGGTGTAAAGCAAAGACTGATCTTGAAGAAAACAAAGATGGAGACTGATACTGAAGAACTATGCCTGTGTGCGCAAAGACAGTACCTGCCATTACAGACAACAACCAATATTTGAATCACAACCAATAGTGAAAACCTTCAGTCACAAATACAGAGCAGATAATTCAAAAAGTTATTACTAGGGGAAGAAAACCAATGAAGAACATTCCAAGCTAGAGAGGATGAATCAGCAAGATAATACAACACATTTCCATATGGGTCGACAGGATATCCCATTCTGTAAATATTCATCTCGGAATTACAAACACAACAACATTAACCCAGTGCCTCAACGGCTCTCGCCCATTGCGGGGCAAGGAGGGGTCGGATCTACGCAGTCTGACCCCTATGTTTAAAACATAGAGCGGTTGTTTTCAAATGACCTGTGATGAGCATCAAAAGTTGCATTGACCAACTGCTACTTCATAATTGCAAGAAGCACAGACAGTGTAGAGAACCAATTTGTTTTATTCCATCATACCCCAAAGCCAAAAAATAGTGAATCTTTTTGGCTACATAGGGGAATGGAAAAATAGAGTAAAAATTCAATCTTTGGGCACCCAAGGTTGTTGAGTTGCTTCCATTAGACTGACAAAAATCTTTGCTTTTGCTACCTTTTAAAAAGGGACCTAAAGAATAGATAACACATATTATATAGAGAAAGAACTATAAAAAAAGGAAAGAGAATCAGTTTTTAGGGATAATAAGAACGGTAATAATTAGTAAAAGTGTGGATTACAAACCTTTCTTTAAAAATGAGTAGGTGGTTCATTTCATTGTTATTACTCTAAAACCTGAGAGGAACTCAATTATACATTTATACTGGTGCTTGATCTTGGCCTTCTGTTAATGTCCAAAGTATTGAGAACGAAAGCATAAGATTCCTTTTTTGAGAACAGTTGCTGGAGAAATGTCGATCTTTCTTTTTTATTCCATGAAATAATGAGAGAAAACATGGGAAACAACCTGTTTGAGTACCACTCATGGGAAACAACCTGTTTGAGTACCACTCAATTCTTGATTTTTGCATTCAGAAAACAGCCAAGAAAATGCCATATGCCTGAAAAAGCAATAAAATTTGGGGATCAGCCTAGATTTCCTGTGCACTTTCTAACCTCTCTACAACACAAAAACAGGTTACCTTAAATCTGACTTTGTTGAGGCAAAAATGGATAAAACCTGTTCCAAGGACAAAGCAGACAACCAAACTTGGAGATCCCATCAATGCATGAGAAATTCTAGTTGGTTTTTCTTTTTCTTCACACTTGCCATCGTTATATTCTTAGATTACTCGGAAAGTTAAACCCCCTCCTGCATTATTTTTAAAATACTCAAAGAGAACAAACTCATAAAAAACTAAGAAATTGATGCAAATATTGACAAACTTTAGTAACAAATACAGAGCATATAATTCAAAAGGTTATGAATTGATACCATATTAGAAAGAGAAAGATTCACTTTTTTAGGGATGACAAAAGCTATGACATAGAAGATCTGGTTAATGAGTGACCCTGCAAGAACGCCACAGGTTTCCAAATTGTTTGTGTTCGACTTTGTTAGTTTTATGAGAGTATCAATAAGAGTTGTTGAAATGTGCGATTGAAGCACAACAACAAAAATTAGGAATTATACAATCAGACATCTGCCTCAAGGACCTGAGATGGTGTTTTCGGGAGCAAATCATGTACCTTTACAAGAACTTACAGTGAAGAGGGTTATACCATAGCAACAACAACATGAAGGACAAAAAAACAAGAACCCCAACAACAACACCAACCAAGGTAATAGAATGACTCTATGAGAAATTGAAACTTGTAATTGTAACTCAAACATTCACTACAAAAACAAATTGAAACTAAACATAAAATTATTTAATAATGTATCAACAAATTCATGAAAATGGAATTTAAAAAAAATGAAGATCAAAACGTGCAGACTGCAGAGTAATAAAAAAATAAATTTGTAACTTAATACCTTAAACCGTGCTCCCTTCGTTGTTGTTGTCTGGTTCCTGTTCGCCTGCAAAGAAAAACGTAGCTCTTGCACAACCGCCGCTCGTTTGCCAGAAAAAAGTTAGATGAGGAGAGAAATGAAAAATTGGCGATAAGAAAAGAGAAGGCGTAAACGATAAGACAAATGAGCAAAATACGAAGTAAGAGGCTGGTATTGCTACAATAACGGGCACGGCTTCTAACATGCACGGTTATGGTTCATTTTAGCAGGAAGAACTTTCACATTGTTGTTGTAAAGACAAAGATAGAGAATAAATAGAGATATCGGTTTTTTAAAAAAAAAATCTAAAATTATTTTACGAAGTACCAAATAAGGTTTTAATTTTGACAAACAATCCAATGCAAACTATATCCAAAAGGAAAAAATCAGCAACCAAATGCACCATTCTTTCGATTCATCTTCATTGGTTTCTTTCCTTTATACCTAATCTGTGAATTGCATTCATTCCGCATCGGAACTACCACTTAACCTCCCCTTTTCGTGTGCAAAACTCCTCATAGAGACTAATGCGTAAAAATTAAAATGACATCTAACGGCTCTTTGCACCATGGATATCAATCAAAGGAAGCAACTACGACAATTCAATGTGGTTGATAAAATCAACTTTGATGCAGACGATGATGAAAGCCAAAAAACTCAACCAATTTGGCAAGGTAGAAAAAGAGAAAATTAAGCTTAATGAGTTGGCAATAAAGTATGTCCTCCTAGTTATATAGATGTTACTAAAAAGTTAGAATGATTAGTTGAAAATTATGCCACAACCAATACAATGTTGCTACATAATTGTACGATCAAGTACTATATTATTTCTCGATCTACCACAAGATATTTGCGATGTGTTGATGAATCGTGTGATGTATGTGGTTAGTAAAATTGAGTACCCAGGTTATCAAAAATATATTTCGGGTACCTTTACTATCATGTCTCACATTATCTAAAATATTTTTCAAGTGTCCTTAAAATTTGTGGTAATGTACTCCGAGGGTACACTCCGTCTATTTAGCCATTATGATTGAAAATTTTGTTTCTTCGACAAATACTAAATTTTATATTAATAATCACTATTTTATTAAATTTAAATAAAAGTTTTCAATTTATCAAAGTAAAAGAACTTTTTTAATTTAATGCTTAAATTGAGAAAATGTACCGTCTAAGTATAATATCACAAATTTTAATGACTCCGGAGTATATTTTGGATAATGTAGGACCTCAGAGTTCTTACCAAAAAATCAAGGGTACACCGGAGTATATCTCAGATAGGGATGATCATCATTCCAAGATCGGACCAAACTGGACCGAAGATTGAATTAAATAAAATCAAGGACCGAAAATCAAACCTAAATCTATTTGGATTTTGACCGGACCGGACCGAAATACTTGAGTCCGAACCCGTACGGACCGATTGAACCGAATAAAAATACATGTTTTTTAGTTGCATATTAGAAAAAAATAAAGAAATATGCAACCTAAAAATAGATACATAATATAAACTACTTCTATGTAGATTGTAGAATCATAAAAACTAATGTGAAATATTTTTCTAATTTTTTTTAAAATTAGTTAATAAAAAACCTTTTTAATTAAATAAATTAAGATATCTACTAAAATAGAGCATCAAAGTGTAATACAGAACTTAAAAATTAGAGTTTTAGTATTTATGTCTTTTAGGTCCAGCAGGATTATTAGGTCCAATCGGTCCGGACCTAAATTATTTCGGGTTTAGACCGGACTAGACCGAAACCCAATGCCTAAATTTTTTTGGATTGAAGACCGACCCGAAAACTATTCAATTCGGGTTCGATCGCGATCTAACGGTCCGGTTTAGTGGGTTTTTCTGTCCGAACCTTAATGTGAACAACCCTAATTTTAGATAATGTGGGATATGCGAGTTAATTTTTTGAAATTAGAGGATACCTGAAATAATTTTTCTATAAAAAAAGGGGAATGACAACAGACCGAACAATCGACCAAGATAAACTGCCGCCTATCCGATCCGCCATGGATAGAAACTTGATGCTTGCTTCAAAAAAGAAGAAAAAGGATAGGAGTTTCACCAGAGAGAAAAAAAAGGAGGGAAAACAGAGGATCAGGGTTGGACAGAGAGACGCGGAAAGAGGTCTCCATGGATAAAAACTCGATTACTGTGAGTTTCCCTTTGTTTCATTCTCTTGTTGACTCACTTGATTGTGTAAAGAAGTCACTGGTTCTATATAATGCTAATTTGCGGGTGATGTTTGTTTTGAAAACAAGATTAGTCATTAATGTTTTCTCAAAGCTAGGTTACTACGAGTAATATTTAATGCTGATATTGTTTTTTGTTTTATACTTGGGTTTATGAAATGATGAATTGACATTGACTTTGCAGGTCATTGTAAATCTAGGTTCCCTAACACCAACAGATCTATTCTGCTTACTGTTGATGGGTTCAAATCTTCCGATACCATTAGCTATGTCAAGGCTCGGGTATGCAAGACAGCAATGGACCTTGGCTTGCATCCACTTAATGCTGACATTTGATCAATGATGTCGCCACTTAATGCTGACATTAAATACTTCTATTCATCAATCAAAACCGCACATCACCACATCACTACAGCAGCCATTTGCAAGGATCACAAAGGCCAATAAACCACAAGTTTAGAACGCTCAATAAGTATGCTAAAGTTTCCTTCTGCATACCTCAACTAGATTCATCTAAACATTATACAATGATGTAACTATCTAACATAACAGAACATTTTTCTCATCACAAAAAGAAAACACGACTTTCTACGTTTTCTTGCACTAAACTTCTTTGTGTGTTTTTTTGCACCACATATCTTCTTTCTCGTATGCACTTCACACTTCTTGTTCTTCATCTCCTTCAAATGAAAGCGTAGCTTTTCAAGTAAATAATTTACCCAATAGAAACATCCTTTCTTATGTGATAATAGTTCAACATCAGCTTTCCTCTTGTTTTCCAAGATAGACTTTAAAGACTTTGAGATGTGAGGTTCAAGTGGAATCAAAGGTTCTTCTAAAAGAGAAACTGTTTTGTTATAATCTATTTTCTTGAGTGGTGTCATATCATCCTCCATGCCACGTTCAACTAAATCAGAATAAAACAACCCTATGAGCTCGATAGAAGGAACCACTAAATTTCGACTCATTAACTGTAGACCAGAACCAAACTTATACGACTTGAATATCTCAATACCAAACGCATTGCAATCAACGAATGCAAATATAGGCACTTTGAGTGATTCATGAACCATTTTAACAAATTGCTCGTATTCCACACTTGGTTGACCACCACCTGTTATGACTACACATGGGATTGATGATATATCAAATCTGTTCGACTTATTGATGATGAGTCTCCTCTATAATATCAAATCTGTTTTATTCTGACTTACTAAAACGTGGCATGGAGGATGGTATGGCACCGCTCAAGAAAATAGATTATAAAAAAACAGCATCTCTTTTAGAAGAACCTAGGATTTCACTTGAGCCTCACATCTCAAAGTCTTTAAAGTCTATCTTGGAGAACAAGAGGAAAGCTGATGTTGAACTATTACAATATAAGAAAGGATGTTCCTATTGAGTAGTTTATTTACTTGAGAAGCTACGCTTTCATTTGAAGGAGATGAAGAACAAGAAGTGTGAAGTGCATACGAGAAAGAAGATATGTGGTGCAAAAAAACACATGAAGAAGTTTAGTGCAAGAAAACGTAGGAAGTCGGGTTTTCTTTTTGTGATGAGAAAAATGTTCTGTTATGTTAGATAGTTACATCATTGTATAATGTTTAGATGAATCTAGTTGAGGTATGCAGAAAGAAACTTTAGCATACTTATTGAGCGTTCTAAACTTGTGTTTTATTGGCCTTTGTGATCCTTGCAAATGGCTGCTGTAGTGATGTAGTGATGTGCGGTTTTGATTGATGAATAGAAGTATTTAATGTCAGTAGAAGTACTTGAGAGTCTACTGAAATAGAATGGTTTATTGATAGAAATGATTAGTTTAATGTAGTGAAATTGTTTGATCGTTAAAATGTTTGGAGCTTTATGCTTTGTGTATGTTTAGGTTCATTTGTAAACTGATGAAAAAGGAAGGGTCATTTTCCCTCATGAATAACATGTTATGTCTCAATGATTTAGAAGCAGATCATGTTATTACTTGATGGTAATTGCTATTTAGTATTGTGTTGAAACAAATTGATTTCTGATGGGAAATTAATTTTTGGAGTTAGTGAGCTATGTGTGTGTAATGTGATATCAACCCCAGAATAAGGAGCGATGGTGTATTGCGAGGTGCAATATACATTTTTACCTTTCTACTCTACTGATGTGTTTCAGAATAGACCAGAAATGCCCCTAGCTGAAGCTTGTCGTGGCAGCAAGAGAGATGTATGTTGATGCTATTACACCTCATTGCAGAGGTTTGTTAATGTTTGCAGGCTTTCTTTATTCAGAGCAAACCCAAAAATTACCTTCTTCATCTCAAGCCTATCTTCTGTAATGGATTACCACAAATTTGTTATCTATCTTTATCGAGCACAATGGGAACACATTTATGTGTCTAAAATGTGTAAATAGTTGACGAAGGGATTTTCACACAGTTAAATGTGTTAAGGCTTGGTGGAGTTCAACATTTAATAAAATTAGGAAATGGGATTTTAACACATTACATGGGAGCTAAGAAAGTTAATAATATTTAGAAATGGTCATCATGTTTATAAAATTAGGAAATGTGTTAAGACTTGGTGGATTTTTTCATGAATTTTTTTAATTTACCATTTCACACCAAACACATAAATACAATACAAATTGGAACTAGATTAGTAAGGATTTCTCATTAAAAATTTAGAATGGTGGATCTTAAAACACATTCAAATGGGATTTTTACACTTTCACGAAAATCAGAAAAATCCATCAAAAATTACAACAAACAAATCAATAAAATTAATTTACCTGGCAGTGGAGTTCTACGGGCAGGAGTTTGAGTGGGAGTTGCTCCGTCCTCCACCGCTGCGCCACCGCCGAGTTCAATCGAGATCCGTCGCGCCAAGTCGTCGTTGCCCCTGCGCCGGAGCGGAATGAAGAGTGGTTGATGGATGGTGTCTGTTTGGAGAGATGCCTAAAAGGGAGACGCGATTCAGCGAGATGAAGGAGAGGAGAGACTGAGAGGGAGACGACGGCGATTACTGAGGCGAAGACCTGCGATCCAATGTGTTGACTCTGAATGTACCCTTGGTACCCAATGCCTGGTTTGAAGACTTGAGACTGCCCCGCCTCCAATTTCCGATTGGATTTGCCACGGCCACACCATCGCCACCCCAACTCCCACTACCACCAACCCCACCACCACTCCCACCACCGCAGCCTATAGTCACCGTCGGTCCACCATCTTCGTTAGACCCCACCACCATCAATCCAGCCCCACCATCACCGCTAACCACATGGGAGCAAATGACTGCAGTCACTCCCTTTTTGAAATATATTTCATAGATATATATGTGGAGTACAAGTAAACTTCAAAAAAAGAAAAAAAAAGTACAGGGGAGGGAGAGAGCACTACAGAGGCAGAGAGCAGAAAGAAGAATAGGGGAGGGGCAGAGCACTAGAAATAGTCTTTATTTAAGATTGTTATGTCTTCAATCAGGGGAAGGATACCACTATACAGAAGTACTATCTATGTTATTGGACACTATGTGTTCGACAAAATGCTCGTGAGACATATGTTTATTTAAATGTCTTCATCTCCGGGAACTGCTAGATACGTACCTTTTCCTTTATTTTGCACCCACTCGTGCTAGATCTTGGCTCCGCCACTGCCGCTAACCCCCCCCCCTCCCACCATCGTCACCGCCGACTCCATCGTCGCCAACCCTCGCCACCATCACCCAACTCCACCGTCATCGCCAGCCCTACCATCGCCCCAAAGTGCCACCATCGTCATAAAGAATAAACTGATGATGATATTCAAAGCGTAGATCTGCAAGATCTACCGCAGATCTGAAAAGACATGCAATTAGAGGAATGAAGGAGAAAAAAAGAAAAAGAAAGGAGTAGGAGCTAATTTGGGAGAGAGAGAAGGAATAGAAAAGAAGGGGGATTCAGTAGAGAAGAAGAAGAAGAACGAGAGAAGAAGAAGAGGAAGGAGGCTGCAGAGAGAAGAAAAGGAAGAGAGATTGGAAAGGTTGGGCTTTAGCGATGGATAAGAGGCAGGAGAAAAGATAAGAGGGTGTATAAGGAGGGTATTTTAGGAAGAGTGGGTAAGAAAACGTATGCTGGGAATTTTATTTCTGGACGGAAAAAAAGAGTAGACTGAGAACTTAAAATCCGGACGGAGGGAGTAGAAACTAGACAGGACCGGACCTTAACCCTAAATTAGAATTTATCCGGACCGGCGACTGACCCATCCGATATCATTATGGTCCGAGTTTGATCGTCCGTTTCAAACTCCATCCACCCCAAAATCTAAAATTGAATATCTCAAAACCTTGCGTTTTTTTTAAACCCTTTTTTGGTATTATTAGTTTTAAACTTTGGTCATAAATTATGGAAAAATATTTATCATCTTATAAATTAAATAGTAATAGATTTATTTTGAAATATAATTTTAAAAATCGCAGTTTTGCAATTTATATTATATGTAAATAAATATATACTAATGGTCAAAATAATGCATCGAACACGGTAAAAAGATAGAGATGAAGAAACTTATTGGACGGATTGAATACATTCATGAGATTAAATTTTATAATTGGTGTTTTAAAGCTTCAGATTTTTCATATTCAATCGCCTATTGTCAAATATTACTCCCCCCATCCAAATTTGAATTGTCTATTTTGATTTACAATGTTCGACTAAAGTTAATTTCAAAATCATTGTATATGAAAAATGGTGTATATTAAATAATAAAAATTACATATTTAAAAACTAAATCAAAAGATTTATAAAACTAAAGATGACATGAGTATATTACTTTATCAAATAAGTGGCAAAAATCAGAAAAACAAAATGAATGAAGTTTGACCATGTAATAGTAAACACCAAATTAAATTTGGGACGGAGAGGTAATATTCTAACCGATACCATGCAGGCACGCACAGATAAAGTAATTGTTAGCTAATCAATAAAAAATGATTATTCTCCCATACATTAAAAAGTATTTCATCTCTCTAGTATTATTTAAAATATCTTAACGTTGAATAATGATTACATGAAAAAAATCAATTAAAAAATATGAAAATATAGTTATTCTTCTCCTCACATAGTCATATTAATGTAAAAGTGTTAATACTATATAAAAAAAGAACAAAGTCTATAATTAGTGTCTTAGAACCAATGGTTCCAAAATTTGATTCCAGAGACAACTAAATTTTGTAAGTGCAATTGACGTTAGAGGTGGGTTCAGATTGGGCCGGAGTGAAGAGAATTTATTGGGGAAGTAAAATTATTAATTTTTTAAACAGAACATCAAAATCCCAAACATGGCCCATGTCAAATGACAAAGGGGCAAATGTGGCCCCCTAATTAAAAAATACATTCCCTCAGAATCAAACTTTAATCTCTTTGTTTACCTATCTTCAATGTCTATTTGATAAAATAATATAGTCATGTCACATCTAATTTTGTAAATTTTTTAATGTATTTTTTAATTATGTAGTTTTTGTTTTTTTTAAATTATACATCATTTTTCATATAAAATAATTTCAATCAAACAAGAAATATATTTTTGGACGAATGGGGTAGTTCACAAACAGAATCTGACGAATGGCAGAGGAGCTACGTTTGTAAAGTTGGAGGTGCAGGACCTTATCTAGAACCCAGTGAAACACCATATGGCCATCAAGAGGCCCAGTGTCATGTTATGACACCAATAACTAGTGTCTAAAGAACTGCACCCTTCTTTTTAAAACATTAGTAGTAATGTTTTGGCTAAAGATGAAATTGGTGAAAAGATTACAATGATAGCCCCTTCCTCACATAGCACTTTATCAATTCTAAATTCTAACAAGTGGTTATAGAAATCTCAATATGTTGTTAATCATTACAAGAAGAATATATGGAAAACCCTAATAAGGATTCTCCAGTAGACACAGAAGAAGGTACCTAATCTTCTGGATATTGGGTTCCCAAAATGATGGCAACTAAGATCCAAAGCATAACTACACCTGTGATGATGAGCTTTATAAGGGGTTCCTTTCTCAGAGGATAACACCTAGGACTTACGTAAGAGACGGTATGAGCCTGAAGTTCAGGGGCATTTTCGTCATTCGAGCTATGGGAAGCGGGAGAGCCTGTCGACTGGATTTCTTGGACTGCAACATCTGCATTCTCGGGAGGGGAACATTTTGAGCACGGGCAATTCCCGCCAAGGAAAGAAGGGACCTGCTCCAGCTTCTTTGAGAGATACTCCTCGTAGTTCCTTCCTATGATCTCCACTTTCTTCCTCGTGGCTGGTCTCAAAACCTGCATCCATATAATTTTGTATTTTAGGCTGGTTTTGATTGCAGAAAAGTAGGTCATGGTGGGAAACTGGCATCTTGGAAATATTTTTGGTCGAAAATGCATATTTTTTGGAACACAGTTACAATATATTGTTCACTTATAAATAAAATTAAAATAAAAAAGTAAAGCTGGTTGAGAGAAAATGATTCTTTTCCACATGGTCCGTTTGGAAGTTGGAACGCAGAAAATAATAGAGAAAGAAAACAGAAAGAAAAAGATGTAAGAGTTTTGGAAGAAAAAAAATGTGGTCTAAGGGGTGGGCGTGTGGATCTAAAAGTATATTCGTTAATTGTCATTTTCATTATTCATAGATACTCCCTCCGTCACATGGTTGTCGGCTGTGGATAGCCTGATTTTTCAACCAAAAAAATTAGTTTACCTGGAGAAATGTTCGCATTACCACATGGGCAACTCGAGGGATGCGTATGAGCAGTAGTAGATAAAGATGGTTAGGGTAATGGTCTTGGAGAAGGGTGGCACAAGATCTCATCATCTGGAGAGGGAACCCAAGAGGTGACAGTCCATCACAATCCATCAACACCACAATCTGAGGATGCTCCATATCAACAAAGCTCACAATTCCATGTTCTATCTGTGAAACTGAAGAATCAAGAAAAAAATAAGTTCAGCACAGGCTTTAATTGACATGATAGTATCAAATTTCTAACTCATGGCCGTATCATGCTATTTTCCATGCATGTACAAATGATCTTCTGTGATGGTAACGGTTTAGAATTTACATATCATTATTCCTTATTATGAAGGTTACCCCTCCCGCATTCTGCCTTGACAATGTGTTTCCCCTCCCGCATTCTGATAAAATATGAATAGACAGATCAATTTCATCCTTTAAGCCACCTCAACTTTGACTACAGTGTCCAAAATCCTAGGGCAACTAAGTGCTGCTCAGATTATGTATCTGGCACATTTTGCAAAAGGTTCATTTATTTACAACATAGCGAAACAGAAGTAAAAAAGGAATTAATGGGTAGAAATCAGAAAACTACCCTGTATTGTCCAATGATCTCACTAGAGCAATTCTTTCATGTTTATGTAAACTTCAAAAGCATTAAATAATATCCAATAATATGATGTTTACTTCTCCTTCCAGAAAAATTGCATGATTGTTAGTTCATATAGTTCCAAATATGCACAAATTGATTAAATTGAAAGCCTAGATTCAGAGTTTATTTTAAAATATAAACACTAGGTAATTCCTTCTAGTTTATCACACTATGTATTAGAAGAAATTAATCAATTAAGAACCTAGATTCAAATTTTGGTGCCAAATATACACCCTACGTATACCTTTTTGTCATCATACTGGCAAATTTGAGCATACTTCAAGTGATACAAACACATCATATTGTGTTGGTCAATGAATTAAAATATGTAACATAGTTTTTTATTTTGCAACCAACCTAAGGCACGAATTGCGAGTTGTTACAAATATGAAAAATAATTACCAATAACTTTTGCAAAAAAATCCCTCTCACTGGATTTGAGGTTGGAGCAAGCAAGTCCAAGGCGAATGATGAGACAAGGAAGTTTCTTCGAATCATATCCATGCCAAAAGACCAAATTAGACCATGCATTTAGCTCTTGTGATGATAGAAAATTGTAACTCTGCCTCCATTGAATTGTCTTCTTGACCAATGACAACGTCCTTTGGTAATCATATTTAGTAGATGCATAAAAGCGGTGAAGGTAATCATCATTGAGCCTATCAAGACAGCACCATGGAAGATGAGAGTATAATCAGATAAAATTGACCCAAGTGAATACATGGATGATGAAGGTGTGCAAGCGGTATGAAATTTAAAAACAAAAAAAAAACTGAATGGTCTCAGTACTAAATATGAAAAATCATTTAGGCAAAGTAAATGAAAGTGAAAATACAACCCTTTTAATTGCTAAAGTATAAATATACAGGGTTTATTATAGTAGAGCAATGGAGACCACAGGGTTTGGAAATCACGGGGCCTAGCTCATTAGACATAACACTTGCCAATTATGTACCTCAAGTAGTACATAGTAGTTTGTTACTCCCTCCGTACACCAATAAGGTTTCACAACTGATTTAGCACAGCTATTAATAGACGTGAAAGTGTGTGGTTGATTTCAGGCGAATGAGAGGCAAATTGTGAACCACACAATTCCATCATTAAAAGGAAGGGGGAGCCTTTGTTCGAGACAAATAAAAAAGGAAATGTGGAACTTTTTTATGGGACAGAGGGAGCATTAACATTTACACAGCATAAATTAAAATGAAAAAGGTTCATTTGACTATTATAGTATATTAAAAATTGTTTTAGGCATCCAATACGACACATCACTACAGTAGTTACTTTCACCTTTGAGGTAGAGTAATGTCTTCCATTCTGAGCTGATTATGGAGGTCAAGCAACCAATTCTCAGAAAGGCGATTATCGGGTCCGTTGTGATGAATGCTGAGAAAACATTGTAGTCACAACTCACAAGGTTATACAAACAGTCTTAACACTAAAGCCCCTTATTTAAAATGGATAAAAGAGAATGCAAACCATTTGTATCCATTCACCTCAAAAAAATTACCTTGCCTCTGAAGAGTTGTGAGTTGCATGCTGCAACTGAGATTCAGGTGTTTGAGAAACATTAGGATTCCACAATGCATCTTGATTTGGTGAAGAATCATCAGAGAAAAGTGTTGCTACTGAAAGAAATAACATTGGTCCAGAGATTTTCTAGCAAAACAAATAAGATTTCACTGCAATGACCATTTCAGATGCATAAAAAATATGCAGGAAGGATGAACCACAAATACTGAATCAAGGTTAGAAGGTACTACGGTGCATTACATTAGGATCTTATAAGTTATAACGGCAGTCACAACTCACAAACAACACAAAACACAAATTCAAAACCATCATAGTCTCTGATTCTGAACACCTTAAACAATACCCTAACAAATTAAAATATGAATTACGGTGGTAATGGACTTGGCTTACATCAATATATAGAGTATTGGGTTTAATTCAACCAAATTTACAATATATGGTTAAAAGGTTATACATTTGCTAAGATAAAACTTGATTAATATTGATATATTAGATATACAGTACATAAATGCTCCAATATCAAAGTAATTTCATCACAACAAAATCCATCTGCATTGCATCAACAAGTGAAACTCTACTGGAAAGTATGTACGAAAATGCTAGGTGAGTATCTAAACAAAAAACCTCCCCTCTAACAAGGAGGGAATTGCACAAACCAGTTTCACACACATACCCAAAGGGATCCTATGAGACTATATAACATGGATTTTAGGATGAGAAACCAACCTGCATTCCTTTGGCTAGAGGCTTGAAAGGAATCCATCTCTGCATCCACTTAAACGGCGGATAGCATAAAGCTTGTAATGCCTGAAGACTATTCCAAATGAAAGGACACTTTGACTTCGAAAATCTCCTCAGAACTTCTAGTGCCACCGTCGTAATGAAAAACATAGCCACATTATTCACAGCTCCGCTAGTTCGTAAACATTTATTAACTGATTTAATGCACTTCAAAGCCTTTGCCCTGAAGTGCTCAGAGGCCATAGCAACTAAGTAATTTTTGGGTAACTTATTTTTGTTGCTTACGATCCTGGCATCCATTCTTTGTGTTGGGCCACGCGATGCATCTCCCAATTCCCTGTCCATAGACTTACCTGTTAGGAATAGTTTAACAATTGTTTGCACCGTAGAGATTCCTCCACTTCACTTCACATAGTATTCATCCAGCAACCTACAAGGCAATCCAACTGTAAGCGGAAAAAGATCATACGGAGTACACAACAAGGCAAACAATTAGCAATTTTGAGATTTAAAAATAAAATAGAAAAAAAAATTATCAAACAAAAGCTGCTCGAATTCTCTAAAAACGTTTCTCTCGATATTCCTAAACCAGAAAGGGGGGAAACGATATATAATCTGAATGCCTACAAAAAAACAGTAGAATCGCAATAATCACGAATGAGTATCGATCGATAACCTCAACCAACAAACTCCAGCAACGGTAGTGATCTCTTTTGAAATTTCTCTTGAATATCCCCCTTTTCCATTGATTCCTCTTCAGATTCCTGGTACAAAAAAGGTATTGATTGGAAGCGTAAACTCGCTAGGGTTTAGAGATGGAGGAGACGAAGCATAGAGTGGCGACGTCAAATTCCCCCGACGATGATTTGCTCCACGTTTGTAATCCTCCTTCCTGTGTGAGCGAGAGAGAGATATGGGTTGATGAAGAGGAGATTGCACGTGTTTGGGGTAGGCGCCGCTCTGTTTTTTCCTATAGCCGGGACCGACACAGGCTATGGCTCTATTTGGAGGATGACGACGTAGAAGTATTCCTTGCTTGTTTTCCTAATGCACCATGTTTCTTTTTTTATTTAAAAAATAAACCATGGGCTTCATGATTGTTTATCGATCATAAAATGTGAAGCATGAACTTGGTATTTAGAGAGGTTATATGCTTAGTATAATTATTCTCTCCGTCCTAGAGTATTTGTCTAGTTTTGACTTTTGAAACTATTTATCTAAATACTTTGACTCATCAAATTCTCTCAATGTGTAAGCCTAAATATAGTCATGTGTGATCTTGTTTGATTTGTCTTAACATATAGATTATTAATATATAATTTCTATAATTTTTTAATATACAAATTACAAGATAAAATGGATTAAAGAAGTGTATTGGATGGTTTGTAAAAATGAAAGTGGACAAATACTCTGGGACGGAGGTAGTATATCTCAGTGTATTTGTAAAAAAAATCGAACTTAAATCATATTCTCTTAATACTCGTTTTTATCATATGCGGAACGCTAACCGGCATCATGTTTTTTTGGTAAATGAATAGTACAATTGGATATACTTAGAGCTAGGTACATCCAGCAATTATTCATTTTAAATTAACATAGTATTCTTTCTAAAACAATGTAGTGTTTATTTTACATTATTTATTCATTATAATTATAATATTTATTTACGAACAACGTAGTATTCATTCTGAAACGATGTAATGTTCATTTCAAATCTATTCAGTGTAGTGTTAATTTTGTAACATCATGTTTTTTATTCTGTAATAACATGATGTTCAATTAGAAATGAAGAGAATATTCAAAGTGATTGAAAAGCATACAGCCATCAAGCTTTGTTTCAAACATATCGCCACCACCACCTACACACGCTCCAACGCTTCACCTTGCCTTGTTCCATCCACAAATTGAAGGGATGAGATGACTCTTTTGAATTTGTGATTAGGATTTTGCCCATTTGTCATTGTGCTCGTTGTTCGCATTCTTTAGGAAGTCATATATTCTCCTCTTCTTCATCTTCAAGTGGTTGTTCAATTGTTGATTCTCCTCTTCTTCATCTTTGATTGACTATTCAATTGTTGTCATCTTTTACAAAAATGTAAGATCGGTTGTACGATTTTTCTTGTACAAACATTTGTATAGAGAAGTTATGTTCTTTTCATACCAAAAAAAATTAAAAATGAGGAATTATTTCCCCAAGGGACCCTCAAAATTGACAGGACGATCGCCTGAGAAGAGGTCAATTGAACTTTAATCATAGATAGTAGCAAATAGTTACTATGAATCGAATTCGAGTATTACCTTCTAGACAGTCATTGCCTTGTCAACTACGCAACACCTATTAGCACAAAAAATGAACTCAAAGTTTATTACTCCGTATTTTTTTGTATTAACTCAAAGGATATTGTTTTCCCTTTTGTCTAAATTATCAAAGATTTTTAAGGATGTTGTTTAGTGAGCAAAAGAAATATAGATTTTAATATTTCAAAGTATCAGAATTTTTTTGTGTTAAATGAAGCCAAAAAAGATATCAAATTTGATATATTCAGATATTATAAATCTTCAAAACGTGTTGGTTGTTCGGTTGGTACTTGGTTGGTCAACGGGCCTACGAAGCATGTGGGATAGTGTGATGGATTAATTAAGCACACAATTGGGCTGGCTTCTTTAATTACGAATGCAGGAAGAAAGCGAGGCAGCTCAGCGGCCCAACTACTCCCCATTTAATTTTTCAACCACGCCATTGAAGCCTTCCTCCCCCTTCTTCATCTTCCTCCACCGCACATTCAAATTACAGCCACTCCAATTCCAAGCTTTCTCTCACACAGATTCGAGAAATGAAGGTCTCCGTCGTCACCAGGAGCGGCAGAGAGCTCGTCAATGGCGGCCTTGACCTCGGAGATTCTGTATCTCTTCTATTCTCTCTATCGTTTTTTTAGTTTCGTCTCTCTAGAGCTTCTGATTTCTCGCACGCCTTCATTGATTTCAGCTTTGATTTTTTTGATTTTTGCAGGCCACTGTTTCCGATCTGCAGGAAGAAATTCACCGACGGAGTGAGTTTTGCTCTTATTCTTATTTTTTTCTCATTTTATGAGTTTTAGCTAGCAGTCCTAGCACTGGAAAATATTTTTTATTTAAATATTTTGTTATTATTTGTTATTATTAAATTAGATAGAACTGGATTTTACTTACCTATTTAAAAGATACGTTTACTAGAGAAATGCTAGAGTTTGACTGATTAAGACTTGCTAAGTGAGACAGATGGAGTAGTAATTATGAGCCAATGGTTGTCTTTCAGATCCTTTTCTTTTTAAGGGCACTTTAAAAAAAATTATCTTTTTGTTTACTTTAGCTGAAGGTTATTATACAAATTGAGTTGTGTCTAGATTCCAGTGATGGATATGTTTGCTTGTTATCCCCCATTCAAAAAAGCTTTACCTAGTATCCTTTGTGAAAGTCAAAATGGGAAAAGCTTTGTGAAGGATGGATGGAGTCTAATATGAGTGAAAAACTAGAGCAATTGCTCTTTGAAAGGATATTTTGCGAGATGCAAGAACTAATTACCATAGCAAACAAATTATATCATTTGGGATCTGAAAGATTGGATTAATCAGCAAGCTGAATGGGAGGAACATTATTATAAGTTTAAACCCCATAGTTCAGGAGTAGAGAGATCAAGACAAATGTTTGCACAGGTCTACTACTGGCATTAGAGACATTAGAGTAATAGTTATTTTGTAAAGTTGATTCACTTGATTATGGAGGTATCTGACCCTTTCCATGGAAAATGCTCAAATTTCAAGGATAGAGAATGACTTCCCAGTTCCCACATCCTCACTTATTCCTTACTTAACATGGAGAGTAAATGAATATATAACACTAAAGCATTTCATAGTATAGAAAGTAATCCTTACAAAATAATTGAGGGAAAAATGTCTCTATTGTTTTAGTATAAAAGATTAAAGGTATCTTTAATCAGTCAAATAAGTTTTTTTTCCCAATTCGAGAAGGTAAGTGATTCCTATGGAAGATGCTGGAATCATTTTCACACTCAAGATTGGAAGTGATTGAATGCTAAGTAATACCCATGGAAAGTGTGAAAGGCCCCATATATTAACCACATTCCTCCCAAACTAATAGTGTCTTTGTTATGATGTGATGGAAAATAAACATGTGGAAAGTTGTTTTGTAATAGTCTTATGATTGTTGTACTTTGTTAGTGTGTCAGTTGTTTCTCTCTTTGTTATTTGTTTGTACTTCTGTATTTGAGTTGGNGGGTCATGGAACACTACATACTTCATGGTAGGGTTAAGGTCTGCGTACACACAACACCCCCTCCCCAAACCCTATTTTTTGTGGATTTTTACTGGGTTTGTTGTTGTATAGTCTTATGATTGCTTTATGTTCTGATTTTTACCCTCCTTACCTATTATTGCATTCATGTTCACAATTGATCACCGGTTTTATTGTTAAACATCTGGCATTTACAGCCAAGAAATACTATCCTTCTAGACAGAGACTTACCCTCCCTCTTCCCCGCGGCTCAACACAGAAGCCAACTGTTCTTCACTACAAAAAGAGTCTTAAAGAGTATACTGATGGGAATAAAAACGAGTTAACCATAGTTTTCAAGGATCTAGGCCCCCAAGTCAAATACAGCACTCTCTTCTTCTGGGAGTATGTGGGTCCCCTGTTTATCTATCCCCTGTTCTATTACATGCCAATCTACAAGCATTTTGGGCATGAAGGCAAACGCATCATCCACCCAGTCCAGACCTATGCCATGTACTACTGGTGCTTCCATTACGCCAAGCGGATCTTAGAGACATTTTTTGTGCACCGGTTCAGCCACGCGACTTCTCCAGTTTCAAATGTTTTCAGGAACTGCGCATATTATTGGTCGTTTGCCGCTTTCATTGCATACTTTGTGAATCACCCGCTCTACACTCCCGTGAGCGATGTCCAGATGAAGATTGGGTTTGGGTTCGGGCTGATTTGTCAAGTTTGTAACTTCTACTGTCACATATTGTTGAGAAATCTCAGAGGTGCTGATGGTGGCGGAGGGTACCAGATCCCTCGCGGGTTTTTGTTCAACATCGTTACTTGTGCGAATTACACCACTGAGATTTACCAGTGGTTGGGATTCAACATTGCGACACAGACAGTTGCTGGGTATGTCTTCATGGTTGTTGCTGCTGCTATTATGACTAACTGGGCTCTAGGGAAGCATCGCCGCCTTAAGAAGGTACATTTTACCACCATCCCTTCCCTCCATTCTAAAAGAAGAAAAAACCGTCAAGTAAACAATGAATCCCCCCCCCACACCCTCTTGCAGAATCTTTGTTCATGATTTTGTTGTAGTTGATGTGCATACCGAGACACGGTTCAAATTTCTTTAGTTTCTAGTATTTTTAAAACTTTTTTAATACTAAATAAGACTGTTATATTTTCTTGACATTTAAAATTTGGCCTCTTTTTTCCCCTGCAGCTGTTTGATGGAAAAGAAGGAAGACCAAAATACCCCCGGCGGTGGGTGATCTTGCCCCCCTTCCTATAGAAAAGATGCAACTCCTACAATTTCACACCAGTGATGAGCAGCAGTTAACTCTACTTGAGAGAATTATTACCAAGTTTTAAATGTGACTCTCTTTTTTTCAGCTTTCCAAATTTAATGCACAACCTTTTTAATACTCAGTTATGGTTTACTCATGCTTGCATTCTTATTCTCGTTTATCAATGAAACCAAATCAGGCCTATATCAAAATTCAAATGCACCTCATAATACTTTTTAATATGCCCTTTTTAGGCATCATCTAATATGGGAGTAGTTTTAATCCCAAAGTCTGGTTGGAATCTAGTGAAAGGATATGCATTGTTTGTAAAATTTACTTTCTCATTGACCCTGTCCACAAATCCAATTAAGCAATCATTAGTCTATGACTAGGGGTGAGCAAATTAACCGGACCGACCGCGAAACCGAAAACCGAAAACTGAAATAACCGGAAGTTCGGTTTCGGTTTCGG